CGGTAATATTCTCTGGAAATCTCTCTTAGTTACTTGGCTGAAAATATAACAATCGCTTTGAACTGCAAAGGTCTATGTGGAAACACTCAGATACTTGAACAGTATCTAGAAGAGCCACAAAACTCCACATGGAGTTTGGTATTAGTAGCTTGTGGCAGAAAGTGAAGCAATACAATCACTTAATTCAACCCTGGCAACCCTACAGTGTAAGAAAGCAAATTAACTGTGACTGGGCCACTCATACTCACAGAGACAACCTGGGCCCGTTTTCAGCTACAAAAAAAGGTTACTAAAGCAATCCTTATATCAGAATTCAACCGACTCCAGTACATTTAAAGGCAAAATAACACGACCACTCTAATATGTTACAACATTTTGAGAAACTCTAGCAAGGCCAAGAATAGAATTAATCTTCACTGATCACCTAATATGCATTTTACATGTGTTATTTCTTAACAGCCTCATAATTCTCTGAGGGAGGTGATACTACTTCCATTTTACAGAACAAAGTGAGATCCAAAGACATATTTCATCCAAGTCACATAGCTAGTAAAAAATCAGAGCTGGGGCCGGTGCTGTGGCGTAGTAGGCTGAGCCTCCGCCTGCAGTGCCGGCATCCCATATGCGCACCGGTTCAACTCCTGGCTGCCCCTCTTCCAATCCAGCTCTCTGCAATAGCCTTGGAAAGCAGTGGAAGATGGCCCAACTACTTGGGCCCCTGCACCCAGATAGGAGACCTGGAAGAAGTTCCTGGCTCCTGACTTTGGATCAGCCCAGCTCTGGCCGTTGCAGCCATTTGGGGAGTGAACCAGTGGATTGAAGACCTTTTTCTCTGTCTCTCCTTCTCTCTGTCTGTAGTTCTACCTCTCAAAGAAATAAAATCTTAAAAAAAAAAAAAAAAGCTCCAAGAAGATAGCGCAACAAAGCTTAGAGTATGGGGTGTTATATTTTGGATAAGAGAAAAGGATTGTTGTATTTTGGCACCACTGAAGATAAGTGAACCCATCCTACAACTCATTCTAGAACCCATCCTATCTTTATACTGCTGGAATCTCCTTATCACCCATTCTGGGATGTGCCTTAGGTTCTGGATGAATTTCGTATGTGCCAGTATAAATTTGGGCTAGGTGGAAGAGTTTAGAAGACTTGGTACTTTTCAGACTGTGTTATGTAATGGCATTGAGGCTGAGCTGGGATTTGGAAACCTGGGTTCAGTTCAGCCGATGTCACTCATTAACCATGAGAGTGGTCAAGTTACATTACTCCTCTGAGTGCCAGGGTTTCTCATCTGTATAAGACTGGACCAAGTATTCCTAAGGACCTTCCTGGCTCCACGATTCAACTCTTTAACTCAACTGTTTAACATTGTGATTTTTATGCAACTATATTAGAAATGATCTTAAGAGCTGGCACATTTGTCCAGGAGAGACTGCTATGGAATTTAGGTTACATAAAGAACACAACAATAAACAAATCCACAAGAATAACTAACTTCTATCCTCCACCCTTCGTAAGAGTAATTTGGAATAAAATGGTTTATAAAGTGATTTTTTTTTCCTGGGAGCTTATTTAGAACAAATGTAGGTATAGTCAAGTTCTAAGACAGACCTAGGTGCAAATCCAGGCTCTATTTCCTATTAGATCTTTAACTTAATACCTCTGGGCTCTATGCTTTGCTTCTGTCAACTTGAAACTGTTAGTAAATACTAACTGTAATAGAACAGAGTATCTGGGACATGGTAGGGACATGGTAAGTGCTGGTTATTTGTTATTGCTGAGATCATTAGGAGTCTGGTCTAGGATCAGGTAACAATTCCAAAGATAGGTCTCTACAGAAGGATGCAGCTTGAGATCATGACTTTATTAACATTGGGAACTTGCCATTGACCTGTGTCCATGTAACAACTGAAATCGGGTGCAGAGTGGAGAAATGAAATTGCTTTCTTCTAGCCCAACTAGCATTTCTTTCTTTCTGAATCTTGCTAATTTACCCTGTAGTGAACAAAACCTGGTCAGAGACATCTTGAAGCATTGGAGGGCACAGCTGGAGGGAGTAGTGGACGACAGGAAAGAGCAGCGGTCACACCCACACTTCAGTTTCAGTATCTCTCTTTGCCCATTTCCCAATTTCAGACCTGTGCACATGAAAACCAAAAGGTGCCAGGAAGAGAAGGAGGTGGCTTTTATTTTACTTATAAACTGAAAAAAACAAATGACTCTGCTTCTATAAAACAAATCAATAACCTATCTGTAACTGTAAACGTCTCATCCACTGAACTGAATGCCTCTCGCCTTGGCCTAAAGCTTGTCCTTTCCTGCCCCCTCCCTGAGCACTCCCACACTCTCCTACTGCCTGCTCTTTTCTCCACGCATTTTTTTTAAGATTTATTTTATTTATTTGAAAGGCAGAGTTACAGAGAGGCAGAGAGAGAGAGAGAGAGAGAGGTCCTCCATCCGCTGGTTCACTCCCCAAATGGCCACAATGGCCAGAGCTGCGCCAATCAGAAGCCAAGGGTCAGGAGCTTTTTCTGGGTCTCCCACGCCGGCGCAGGGGCCCAAGGATTTGGGCCATCTTCTATTGCTATCCCAAGCGATAGCAGAGAGCTGGATCAGAAGTGGAGCAGCCGGCACTCAAACCGGTGCCCATATGGGATGCTGGCACGGCAGGTAGTGGCTTTACTCGTTATGCCACAGTGCTGGTTCCAACTCCACATATTTTCTGAGACTTATTTTTATTTCCTTTTACAAATTGGTTTTGTTTGTTTTGTGAGGTTGGTGGGAAGCCCAGGTGGAGGAAAGAACTCAAGATCCAGGTTCAAATCACCTGTACTCTTGAAACCCTGTTAAGTGAAGCCACAGGGAGGCCTTCAGATGATGAGTCTGAATACCTGATTGCCAAAAGAAAGGCCAACCAAAAGATATAAAAGTTCCATTTCATACAAGTAAATATCCAAAGCAAAGATGAACCATATTTCAAAAGTTTCTAGCCAGGTTATAGAAGCAAGTCATGCAAAGTAACCAAGCCTTCTAAAGTTCAAAAAAGCAAATGCTTTCTTGTAAGTGATTAGTAGTAGTGATACCATGCTAATACCAAGACCTCTTTTGGCTTTACCATTACATGATTTAAAGTATAATTTTACCACTTTAATAAATTACAGGTTTATAGTTGCTGTATTAATATTTTTATGACATGTAATTATCACAGCCAACCTTGTACCAGTTGATGATGAGGTCCTTGGCCTTTTAATGGGGCCAAGGTGCTTTATGGAATATGATACATTTTGTAATGATCCGCTATGTAAACAAAGCTGGTACAGGACAGTTCACAAAAGCACCATAAAATGTTTGGAAATATCTCTTAACTAATTAAGCATTTAGGGCTACTGGCTTGAGTTGAGAGTATCAGTAGGTTTAAAAAGATGACATCCAAAAGTTTTCTTTAGTAATTGGTTCCCTGTTTCATGTATTAAAACTGTCCCTTTATATAAAACTCTCTAAGAAGGATTAACAACTGTTAAAAATTATTCTACACAAAGACGATGGGGAGGGATAAAAGAAGGCTGTCAATTCTGGGCAAAATGGAAAATGGCTTAGTCTTTGCTCTGGATATTGGCCATTTTTAGTACTTTGGTTAGGATTTATCTATTACATATCCAAATCTATCTATGTAGCACCTTTCTGGCAAACTGTGGTTCCAGAAGAAATCTAGTACTTTTAGGCATCATGCCAAATTATAATGCTTTCCCAATGGTACTGTGCAGACTGGAACAGTTCGCAATTTTGTTACAATGCTTTTGAAGCATTAATATGTTTGAGTTTGAGATAGTATAATTTAGAGGCTCTGAATGGGTGCACAATCTCTCACTACTGGGTTGAAATCCTACATTCTGTCTTTCTCCAAACTCTCACTCATTTATTATTTATCCATACCAAAACAAAAACAAAACAAAAAACCCAAAAGAAAACAAACAAAAAAAACCCCAAAGCCAGTTCTTGGAATTTCCATCCCCATGTGTAACCAGAATTGCAAAGTAATCTCACAGGGTGGAAAATACTGCCCTTCTCATAAATGTACATTGACCTCCAAGCAAATCTTCTTGCATGTATGATCTTGATCTTATTCTCCAGTTTTTCATACATGAATGTTTAATATCTTGCCTTTTAAATCTGTTTGTAAAGTCTTTAAGGCCAGAGATTCCATGTGAAGAAAATTTTTCATCTCTGACAGTGTCATACCAGATGGTATATATGAATACTTGCTTCACTGTTTTTCCTTAAGAGAATGGAATTTATTATTTTATAACAGCTGGTGCATTGAGCACTATTATATGAGCTGTAATTACAAAGTTAACTTAGGCAAGTCACTTAATCTTTTATAGCTTGTTTCCCTATTGGGGAAGAATTTTTCCACAAGGAGTTAAGCTCTTAGAGTAAGACAGAACTTTACAAAAAGTCCTATTTGTGCTATTTACTGAAGTGAGAATTGAACATATCTTCTAATCTGAATTTTCTAAATCTTTACCTGCAGTTTGGGGATCAAGAGTGTTCACCTCCCAGGAATGATCATTTTTGAGGTAGAATCAGAACACAAGTGTAAAGAATGCAGCACATGACCTGAGCCCTGGTTCACATTCAATGAGAGTCAACTATTATTCTATCAAGTTTCTTCCAGCTCCAGAGTGCTAAGATTAAGACAGAAGTAAAATCTCAGTTATCAGGCACCCAGATTCCTGGTGTCCTCAGTTGTCTGGCATCTCTTGGTCCCCAAATTGAAAAGAAAATCTTATAGAGGAAAACTGATTCCAGCTTCATGTTACCAGCAAGTAAACAGAGTGCTTTTAATAATCATTGAACTTGTGATGTTCATAACTGAGTATTAAAAGGTTAAAGACACATTCTTTGAAGATAAATGACTAAGAAACCTGTTCTGAAGTGCATGCTCAGAATCAGACACAGGATGTCATCAATCTGTGGTCATGGGTTTCAACAAAGACACTGACCTGGCTTGCTGGAATCGAAGAACACAACACCCTGCTCACAGCTGGACTTACCTACATAAAAGAGAGAAATGCTGTATAAATCCCACTGCCTGCCAGGCACACACTGGAGTCACTAAAAATTTCAACATATGCTGTTTTCTACCCCCTCTCCTTCCCAATCCTCCCAAGAAAGGGTAGAATCAACTTTACTTTTGCTAACCGCCAGTGTGGAAGTGGCATTTGTTTGGGTCAAATACATCCTGAAATAGCTAGGTTAGCATCTTGTAGCATTTGTAAAAATACATTTCTGAGCATTTGGGGATGACACAGAAAAAAGCATTTCTTTTGGCCATAAAACGTTTTGGCCATAAACCACTGGAGGGGAACAACAAAAACCTTACAGGCATTTTTCAATACTGAAATCAGAAGTAGGAGTGATGTTCTTCCAACATAGCACTTTTAGATCATATAACTAAAGACCAAACAATTCTGGTTTTCTATTGTACTTGTATAGGTAATAAGTGGTATTATTAAACCAATAACATGAAGCATTTACATGTGTTTCTTTTTCCACCCATGTGATCACCCACAGTCCTAAATACTTAAAATTTACACCACCTTCAAGATCTGGGAAAAACACAGTAATGGGCAATCTAGAAGAACTGACTGAGATTTTATTGCCTCCTACTGACTTTTCAAAGCCTTCCACACTGGGATCAACAGGTTGGATCTCTTTCCCATTAATATGTGCAAATATAATCCAGGAATCTCAGAGGCAACTTTTATAATTTATTACCCAGTTCACCTATGGAGCAGTATACAGGGGTTAATGGGTGATTCTCTTAGGCATCTCCAAGGTTACTGAAAGTGAATTATCATTCATTTCTCCCATCCAAGTACTAACCAGGCCCGACCCTGCTTAGCTTCCGAGATCAGACGAGATCGGGCGCGTTCAGGGTGGTATGGCCGTAGACTCATTCATTTCTAAATACTGTTTGTAAACAAGCTACACACACACACACACACACACACACACACATATATATATGCATATACTTTCTGAGAGAAGCCTAAATGCAACCTATTGGCCTTTTGCAGTCTGCTTATTGTGAGAGGACTTAGAAAGTTGAAAACCACCGATAAGTATCGTTTTTGCAGTTTAGAATATGTTTAGTGTAGACCATGCAGCCTGAGTTGGGGAGGGGGCGCCTCCGACCAATGAAACCCCAAGCTGAGCATCTGGCTGGGGCTCCACAAGGGCTCCCAGACAGCCCAAGCTGGGGAAGTCTAAAGTCAGGACCATTCTTTCGGTCTTAACTTACTAGATTTTCCTAGATTTGGGAGCTTCTATGTATATATCAACCTTCATGCATTTTTCCCCCCTCAGCAAATGTGTACAGTCAGCTCCAAAGGCACAGCTTGTGTGCTGACGTGCAAAGCCAAGTCAAAACCCTGAGCTTGGCGCTCCCTTCTAACTTTCTGGCTTGTCCAAGTCTAAATATTGACATTGCTCCTCAGTTGAGATGTTTGATACTGCTGGCGATGGAAACAGCGCAGCTGACAGTAGGACCTAATGATAGATTTCGACACAGTCGTGCCTTCCTTCCACTTCTTTTTCCTGGGAGGGGGGTTGGATTCCCTTTTCTACAATTCTCCCCCACTGGTTGTTTTCCCCGAAAGCTGAACACACACACACACACACACACACACACACACCAGGTAAGGAGTTTTGCAAGCCCCTCCTGGCAGCTTCTGCTGTTGCCCCAGCAACTCACAACAGATCCTGAGGCTCGGGGTGGGCGGAGGGAGGGGTGCGCCAACTGAGGGCCCGCCGGTAATGTCTCCTGGGGGATGCAAGCAACACAGGGGCTAGCGTGTCCCCCTTTTCAGTTGCCCCTGTCCCTCCCCACCATCACCACGGTCATTCCTAGGAAAAAAGCCCTCTCCTCGGGCGGTGCCACCCGCTCCCTGGCGCAGCCAGCCTGCTCAGGATGCCTGTTGTACGTTTGCTCGGCTCCAAGTTAGGGGTGCGGCTGTGCGGGCGCTCCTAGAAATCGCTCGTGCTAGCCTGTGATGGGAGAGGAGGGTCCCCGGCCTCACCGAGCGGCTAGGGCGGCGGCTGCGAGAGCCGCACGACCCCCACAACTCTATCGGGGCGTTGCTGGCTGCAGGGCACGGCCCGGGCCCCCACCTGCCAGCCGCGGGGGCCGGGGCGGTGGGGCTCCCAGCGGCTGCTCGAAGTTTCATACCGCGGCGCACTCACGACACAGAACCTACCCTGCAGCCGAGCGAGACGCGAGCTCTCTCCGCCTTCAAGGGCCGGGGGGGAGCGGGGGGCCCCGCCACTCAGCAGCAGCCACGGCTGCGCGCGGTCGCGGGTGTGCGGGGCCCCTGCGCGCGGCGCGCCGCCCGCCGCCCAACTTTGCACAAAGGCAGCATGGCACGGCCTCGCCTAGCCGGCTCGCCCACGCCGCGACCGCGCTCCCGCCCGGGCGAGGGGCTCGCCCCTTCCACAGTCGGCCCGGCCTCCTCCGGCCCCCACCCACTCCCAGGAGGGGCGGCCCGGCCGAACGCAGCACCCGGCACCCAGCTCCGACGCGCTGGCGGCCGCCGCTCGCACTGTGACGTTAGCAGCCTTCGCGGCTATTTATATCCCCACGATTGGATTTCATTCATGAAACCAGGGCCTGGTGTGTCTGTGCTTTGGGGCGCGGTGGCAAAGGTGCCTCAGCTCTACGCACGCCCAAGGGATCCGGGCTCGCAGCACGGTCCGGGACAACCAGGCGCAGAGCCGGGAAGACCCCGGCCCTTCTCCTCCGCTGTGGCGAGGGGTGGGTCCGGGCGATCTGTGCTCCCGTCCCCCATCCCCAACAAACCCACCCGCTCCCGTACGGCTGCTGGCCCTTTGTCCTAGGCTCTGGAAAAGTAAGTTGTGCACTAACCGGCTGGGAAGCATGGCTTTCTTCCCCCTAGGAGCTGGCCGGCCGCGGACTCCGAGGGAGGACATTGGCTTTTGTTTCAAAACCGAGCCCAGCTGCTGACTAAGGGCTGCGTGAGCCCAGCCTCCTCCTCCCCTGGGCGGCTGCACGTGCTGGCTGGCTCCCCCCTCTGGGTTACCTACCCTTGTAACTTGTCCCGAGGGGTCCCCGCCACAGCGGGGCGCAGGGACACACCGCTGCCCCCCGGCCGGAGTACAGAGCCGATTTTACAACCTCCTCAGAAGGGCTGGACGAGGAGGTGAAACTGACTTCTGGCCTCTCATGGGCTGCAGGATTCTTGGAATCCCAGGACAGCCCTGCCTCCTCACAGAACCTCTTCTCACAATTGCAGGCTGCCTGTGCGTTCCGAGGACACACCAGGATTATTTTTCACACATCCACCCAACAAACCTTATGGAATGTGGCTGCAGGGCATCGGGACTCTGCCAAGCTCTGAGGAGGTCACAAGCAACCTACTCCCTGCCCTCAGGGAGCTTAGAGTCTGCCTGCTAAAATTCATGTGCTCAACTTCCTGCTCCCACCCCTGAAGAAGCAATGGGGAAAGGGGGTTGGTGGAGGCGAAGTAGATACTGATGTGTTCAGCTGCCTCAAGAGATGTGTTCATTGAACAAACCCTACTTGAGGAGGCTGTGGACCAAAAGCTGGGCAATAATATACCTTTTGCCTGAAGGAGTTCTCAGGTAAGGTGTTCCTGAGATACTGAAGGGAAGAAGGGAGCTGTGTTTTATTGCATGGGCTATTTTTTTTTTTTTTTTTTGTCGTATTCTCCCAAAACAGCACATGTTGAAAACATTCTGAGAGCAAGCACCCCTCTCTGGTTCCTCATTTTCTTCCAGGAAACCATCTTCAATTTCCCAGATGGATTACTCCCTCCCCAGGATTCCCAAGTGAATTCCAGTCCATAGGGTATTTCTGCTCTTCCTCACTGGTTTCAGTCATGTTTTGGAGACAAAATTCTTGTCTGATGCTCTCTGAATCCCACAGAGACCTCGAGACATAGTAGAATTCTCTGGTTTTTTTTTTTTTTTTTTTTTTTTTTAACAAGGAAAGGTATCACAGGAGGCCTGCTTTGTTTAAGCCATCCTCACTGTGCTCTTCAGAAACAGGGATATTAAGCCCTAATCTTTGCTACCAGGAAGAGAGGATGATGAAAAGTCACGTACGGGTGAGAACTTCAGGTCACATAGATACATACATGAAGGTAATCATTAACTTGGCACAAAACAATCTATTTAAAATAAACTCTATTTTGAAAGGCTAAATCGATATATATTCTTTTCAGGAACACATTTCTTGGGAAAAGTTAATTAACCCTGTTCACTTCGAGCAATCATCCCTCTTCACTGCAAGCCATTTTTTCTTCAAACTGCCCTGGGGGCTAAGGAATAAGGTAGAAACTCCAAAGAAGTGGGAATCACATGTACTGCAGCGCTCATTTGTGGCAGGCACAGGGCTGGCACATTTTTAATACCTGCAACAACTGATGGGATGGATGCTATCATTATTACAATCTATTATGGATGAGGTAACTGAGGCAGGGAGAAATTAATTATCTGAGGTTTTGACAGTTGCATGTGCACCTGGGTCACCCTATGCCAGATCTTATTTTATCAGTAACCTGCTTTTTAAAAACATCCTTTCCTCTGTTACAAACTTAAGAGTGGCAGGTTTCTCTTAAGCAACAAGCAGGTGCTGAGGCCAAAACCATACCTACACAAAGACCCCTGCTGGCAGATCACTTTTCCACCACTGCCCTGCCCCCCCACCCCAGGGGATACCAAGGCTCCACAGCTCTTCCAAAATATGCCCCTTCTAAAGGGTGGTAAAGAACAATCAAAGGCAGGCATGTGGCCTGGAGACTAAGAGTCTGAGAAAAACACCCACTCCCCACATGGGTGAGTGCCTCAGTTCCACACCTGGCACTGACTCCTGATTCTAACTCCCACCTAAGGCAGACTCTGGGAGGTGGCAGTGACGACTAAGTAACTGGGTTCCTGCCACCCATGTAGGAGAACTGGACTAAGTTCCTGGCTTCTGACTTTGGCTCCCTCCGCCTGTTGTGGGCAACTGGAGGAGCGAACCAGTGGATGGGAGTTCTTTGCCTCTCTGCCTCTCAAAACAAAAGCAAAAACCAGTCATCTTGGAGTTATTGTCCTGAGTTGAATGCTTAGATCTGAGGGAAGCTGACAGGAAGAACTTTCAGGAAAGTAAATTGCTATTAACAGTAATTCCTACACAGCAGAGAGGAAAAGGCGTTATTATAGGAAGTCCTTCCAAACAAGGCGGTGATCGGCAGAAGATGCTTCCATCTAGTGCTATCCAGTCCCAAACTGACAAGTAAAACCTCTGATTCCGGCAAGGTTGGAGGAAACACTGCAAGTTGTATCAACGTATTTTATTTTATTTTGCCAACAGGAAAGGAGAAAAAAGGAACAATAGCATACACCTTCCAGAATCACCACCGTGAACATACCCCTAACTGTTGTGATCATCACAGAAGAATCCACCTTTGTATACTGAAATTGTTGCTTTTTAATAAAATCAGGACTATTCAACTTAATATACAAACTGGCATTTATGTGGAATTAAACCAACATTTTTTTCTTTAAACTCTTTCATATTTGGATTGCACAAAAACATGAATAGCTTTGATGGTAAATATTTTACCAAAGTCATAGGATTTAAAAACATCCGAGTCCCATTCAAAAAAGAACCCCTTCCTAGCAGCTCCATGAATTTATACTGCCTCCAAAACATTTATCTACTTTCCATCTCTAGAGTTTTGTCATTTTGGGATTATTCCATTAGTAGGTACATTTTGAGATTCTTTTTAAAAAATTAGGTAATCCCCTTGAGCGTCATCTAAAGTGTTGCATGTATTTTTTTTTTAATTGCTGTGTTTCTGTTGCATGGATATACCGGAGATTGTTTAGCTATTCACCCACTGAAGGATATTTGAGTAGTCTCTAGTATTTTGCTATTACGTAAACCACTTCTATAAATATTTGTCCACAAGTTTTTGTGGGAACACACATTCTATTTCTCTGAGATGAATGCACAAGAATGCAACTTCTGGGTCATACATTAAATAAGAAACTATCAAATGACTTCTCCAAGTGGCTTTGTTATTTACATGCCCACCAGCAACGTCTAAGAGGTCCACCTATCCTTAACAGCATTTGCTATTATTAATACACTAAAAATGTTTTTCTGTAAGTTTATATTTTAACTATACATAGTTATGGGGTACAGTGTGGTAAGCCAATACATCTATTCCAGGTATGAAGATCAAATCAGGTTATTTAACATTTCTAATTCTTTAAACATGAAAAAAAATTTAGCAAATATATAGTGACATGTCAGTAAATGTATACAATGTGTACTGATCAAATCAGAATCATCCACATTTCCCTCTGCCTCTCATTACCTTGTGATTGGAGCTTCCATCTCTGTTCAGCACGAGGAATACGGCCCTTCAAACTAGGATTTGGTACCCATCCAAGCTCCTCCATATTTATTATTATTTTTAACAAAATTTCACTTGTAGAGGAACATCTCATTTTGCTTTTAATTTGCATTCCTCTGATGGCCAATTATGTTAAACATCTTTTCATGAGCTGATTTTCCACCTTACCTCCTATTTGCTGAAATGTCTATTTACATCTTTTACCTATTTTATAACTGTATTGTTTGTGTACTTGCTGTTGAGTTTCCAGAGTATTTTTATATATTCTGGAGTTTTCAGATTGCAAATTAAACACTGCTCAAGATAGAGATATTTTCAACTCAATCATTGTTGCTCAACATTTTACAGTTATTAGTTTTACAGAGAATATCCTGGGAATGTAAAGTACTTACAGGCTTATTTTGGTAAGTCTGCACTTCAACCGTCATAACTGACGTAGAGACCCTGGCCACATGTGTCCGGGTGCTATGCAGGGTCACGTTGGCTCCAAGGCGGGGCCTCCTGCGCAGGCCCAGACGCCTCCTCCGCAGGCCCAGACGCCTCCTCCGTTGGCCAATGCACCCGTGTCTCCAACCGACCGCCTACCCTAAGAGGCAGCTTTGGGCTGTCCACCTCTCTGCCTCAATTGCGGGATTGGAAGCTGTGCCGGGTGTTTTGAAGCTGGGAAGTTACAGGTGTTTCAGAGAAATTTCATGGCCAAGTACTAGTGGGTTTGAAGACAAGGAAGGAAATAAACTCACCTACCGGCCTATCGTAAAAAACAGACTTGTTTGGTAGAAAGATATATTGAAAGACAGCTTTTGGATGGGCTTCTTGGAGCTAACACAATGGCTTTCAGAAGACTCAACAACTTTGTAGTACCCTGAAGATGAATGGTTGGTGATACACTTGACATTATGCTTACATGGATGGATTTTCTGGCTTTTCAAGAAAGTTTCTAAACTGCGGAGCAGAATAAAAAGGCTGAGCACTGGCCTCAAGCAGTTTAGTGGCAAATTCCTTGTATGAATTGCCTTGCCAGCTTTCTAGACATATTGGGACATTAGCTCCCTCTCCCAGCAGTGGGGTCTGTCTAGACAGCACAGGCCCAATAGGCTGGGCTGGGCCGGTGCTAGTGCTGACCCACAGGATTAACTGTGTTCTGGGGCCTTTCATTCATGCTAAACATTGATGAGTCCAAAAGAAAGTGACCTCCTGGGACCTGTGTTCTTCTTGAAGTACCTTCTTGTATTAATTGAGTGCAGTTCTCCTGCCACCCCAGGGTGCTTCAGAGTCATACGAGCTTGGGCAAGGTGATGTACATTGTTCTACCTGGGGGATAGAAGGGTGCTTTCCCAGGTTTCATGTTGATAGGTCAGTTACAGGCAATGGACTGCCATCACTACCTATCTCTGTCCCAAATACTTCCAGCAGGTCTTGCACCAGGCAGCTGTGCCTTCATGGCTCTTTCCTTGAGTAAGTGTGAAACCCTTCACATGGGAGGCCTGCTAGTGTTGAGTTTTTAACTACTAGGAATTTATCTCAGGTGTTTCTCAAACCAGCGCTCCGATCCCCCAAGGTCCTATTTTCTGCCTACTGCTCTGGAGGAAATTAGAGCTAGTTTTGGATGTGGGGACTAACAGTAAACCATGTCCTTTCTCTGAAAGCTGTAGAGGATACGAGCTCCTACTCTTTGGTTTGTAGTCCATTTATCACTGTTGGTTCTGATGTAGTTTCTAGGAAGAGCTTCTTTAGTAAAAGCATTTTTTTGGGGAAAACAGGCTAACCTAATTGATCTGATCTTGGAAGCCCCATGATAATTTAATCAAAGATGGAAGCATTAGATGCTATGTGCTTTTTCTTGTTATTTCTGTGAAGAAAAAACTTTTACATTACAGTTCCTATTTTACTGGGCACCAGTGAAGTTAGGCTACGTGCTAAAAACAGACAAAAAGGTATCCCTTTCTTGTGTAGAAGTGCATCTGTATGGATCCATTCATTGTGTTTTCCATTAGGGGGAGGGCGAGTCCTGTAAAAATGTGGTTTTTGCAAGCTTGGAAATTCTAACTACATTCTTGTTGTCAGAATCTCTCCTGGTGTATCTCAGCATGTGTAAGAGGAGGTAGCAAAGAGCTTTTATGGTTACCTGTCTGGCTTTGTTTAGGTCTGGCATTAGAGATGGAAACCGTGTATGTCACAACTCTAGGATGAAGAAAAACACAACAATATAAATGGTGTAGCTTTGACTTTTTTTTTTTTTAAAGTAAAAGCATGATTATGTACTGGAAGAAAACCCCTATATTTTAAAGGCACATTTGTTTCTGGAACAAACTACATTTTTAATTGACTTTAATTTTATGTAAGTAAAAATAAATTACATCAATGTGTCATTGCATGTTTAAGGCTATCTTGCCTGATGAACTGTTTCATATAATAACTGTTTTTCTTAACAAACACAAAACAAAAGGCTCCCAAACCTAAACACACCTTAAAGGCAGCAGACGGTGGTGGAAAGGGAAAAAAGGGAATTGTGTTTTGGCCATCCCACTGATGAACCATGAAATTCTGATTAGTTCCTTAAACCACTGTATGTTCATGTTCATATATCAAATGGAGGCAGCAAAGCTGTTCTAAAAAGTTCTTAAGAGAACTAAATGAAATAGTATTTGTAGAGAATGTCTCTCTATAGAGAGTTTTAAAAACATTTGTGCAGCCTAGGGTATCATTTGATTTGGGAATACCAGGATTAATTATACCAGAACTAGATCATTCCCAAAATTTACTCCCCAAATGCTGACAGTAAACACTATACATAGTAACCTCCAGCAAATTCTTTCTATGAGATAGAAAGTTTAATGTTGGAAGTTTGAATTTTTACTCTGTCATTGACTTGTGGGTGTTGTGTTTTCTCCCATCTATAGAAGTGAGCTACTCTACATGGAGAAACTTGAAAAATAAGTGGCTTATGAATACACATGTGCATGCAGACACACACACACACACACACACACAACACTGCAGAAAAACAATTCCACCAAGGTTCACTCCACATTTTCCTGCTTACCTGGCAACTTTAATATACATGTCATTTAATCTTCATGACAACCTTGAGAATCATTTCCAATATGAGAGCTGGGGAAATGACATTTCCCAGTGGGTAACCAACTTGCTTTCTGTGAGGAAAGGGGGAACCAGGATTCTGATTAAGAATTCTAACCCTAGTCTGTGACCAGGTGCAAGTAAATATTCTGAAGTAATTTAGTGAATACTACACCAGTTTACGTAGAGATGCCACTTTAAAAGGAATGCACGTTTTTCAGAAACATCAATGCCTTGGAAGGAGACCTACCAGTCCACCTCTAGAAAAAAGCCGAATTGTAGCACATTTCCTTAATTGGCACCACTACTTTTGTAATGGTTCCTAATCTGATAGTACAGAGTGCCTGACTTCTTGTGCTGGACTGAAGAGTATCAGTCTTCATGCACAACATTTCAGAGTCTCTCTTTAGCTCTATAAATATTTATATTTACTTTAATATTTCACATGACCTAAATTTACAGCTCCCCATTATGGACAAGTAGTTATCTGCATCACATGTAAGTGACATAAGCAGTTAAACACTTCAGGATCAACACTGAGGGCAAACAGTCCCTGAGCTTGTAAATATAAACCCAGGACTCTCGGGATCAGTGACAAAATCCCACTTCTACCACAGCATCCCTCTTAGAGCCTGAAGTTTTGATGAGGGGCATGGAAGTTTCATTGCATCTCCATTCCCCACAGTGCTTTGAATAGCATTATAGGCAAGAAAGTGCATAGAAAATAGTTTTAATACAGGTTGAATATCCCTACCATGAAAATCCAAAATCTGAAACTTTTTGAGCACTGATAGGCAGCTACAAATGGAAAATTCCGTACCATGAAACTCCTTTTCATAAAATTATTAAAAATATTATATAAAATTACCTTTAGATTATGTGTATAAGGTGTATACAAAACATGAATTTTCTATGTAGATGAGGGTGCCATCTCCAAGATACCTTATTATGTATATGCATATATTCCAAAATAAAAAAAGTCTGGTTTCTGAAACACTTCTGGTCTCAAGCATTTTTGAATAAGGGATACTCAACCTGTCAGAGTCAATGTTAAAATGGTTACAAGACTCCTTAGTTGTAGTTTCTTCTAATCACTCATATATACGTGCCATCCATATGACTTATGACAAAGCCGCAATTGTAAAGGAGAAATATCCTTTGTGGTTTTATTTGTTCTATTAAAATCACTGCCAACACTGATCACCCATGGAAAGGCACTTAGAGATCATGAAAATATTTTATGAAGATTCAAGTGTTATGAACAGGAAAAGTATTACTGTGCATGAATAATAAAGACCTATATTACCACCTGACTTTTTAATCTGGAATAATACTACTTAACATTTAGTAAAACCTACTATGTGCGGGGCATGGTGCTAACGCTTTTACATTCTCATTAACTCCTCACAATGACTTTACGAGGGAAGTACAGTCACCAACTCCATTCTATACAGTTTACTACTAGGGAAGTACAATTACCATCTCCATTTTATACAGGAGGAAGTCAAGATCAGAAGGGTTAAGTCATTTTCCAGAGGTCAAGTACTTAACACAGTCTTATAGCAGGAACTCCTGACAAAGCAGTCTTCTACTTTCCCCAGATTGGCACTTCATATTTACCATAGCTTGTTCATTCAAAGCACCGCTAATCACAATGAATGCCATCATACCATGTACTTCAAAGACTACTGGTGGCCGGCGCCGTGGCTCAATAGGCTAATCCTCCGCCTGCGGCACCGGCACACCTGGTTCTAGTCCCGGTCAGGGCTCCGGATTCTGTCCCGGTTGCCCCTCTTCCAGGCCAGCTCTCTGCTGTGGCCCGGGAGTGCAGTGGAGGATGGCCCAAGTGCTTGGGCCCTGCACCCCATGGGAGACCAGGAGAAGCACCTGGCTCCTGCCTTTGGATCAGTGCGGGGTGCTGGCCACAGCGCGCTGGCCGTGGTGGCTATTGGAGGGTGAACCAACGGCAAAAGGAAGACCTTTCTCTCTCTGTCTCTCTCACTGTCTACTCTGCCTGTCAAAAAAAAAAAAAAAAAAAAAAAGACTACTGGACCACAGCTGCTCTTAAATTCTTTACCACTTGCAGGTAAACTGCCTTAATACTTCACATTTTAGAAGTGCCAGGTATAACTGTTGAAGAGAACTGACCTTTGCAAGGTGACAACTCCAGGACTCTTCTGGTCCTTGACAAGCAGCTGACACCTGTAGATCAGGTGTTAATGAATCATGCCCTTACCACCCAAAGAAAACAAATAATTTGTGGGAAAGTAATGTAATCTTTAGTTCATTTCTTAGTATTTCCCATAATAAATCAAATTACTCCTCTACTACCTAATGAAACGAATCTGATTCTACAATGACTGCACCTTATGCCAGTAATACCAGGTTAATGAGATAAGAGCAGTCACATGGAAAAAACATGACAGGTAGAATTAGTGAGAGAGAGAGAGAGAGAGAGAGAGAGAAAGGTCTTCCTTCTGTTGGTTCAACCCCCAAATGGCCACTACGGCCAGCGTGCTGCACTGATCCGAAGCCAGGAGCCAGGTGCTTCTCCTGGTCTCCCATGTGGGAGCAGGGCCCAAGCACTTGCGCCATCCTCCACTGCCTTCCTGGGCCACAGCAGAGAGCTGGACTGGAAGAGGAGCAACCGAGACAGAATCTGGCGCCCCGACAGGGACTAGAACCCAGGGTGCCGGCGCCACAAGGCGGAGGATTAGCCTAGTGAGCCGCGGTGCTGGCCCAAATAGTAGCTTTTCAAAAACAGTAAATATATACCACGAACTCTGAATATAAAGAGTCCTACTTTCTGTAGAACAGGGACATCACAACTGTTGCTCTCACAAACATTATTGTTTGTAACTACGATTACTTTAGGTTTGAAGTTCTTTCTCAATAAAAAAATTGAAGTGGCTAATGATGATGCAATTATATATAAAAACACTTATATATAAAGAGAAACACACAGGCTCATGGAAAATATTCTGGATTTCTCTTTGAATCTGTATTCTTACACATTATACATTAATGAGGAATGGAGATTCTGGAAGATACTGAAGTGCTGTGTTAACAGAAACATTGATTTATATCCAGTATAATTTAAGCTTTATGTTTATTTTAATGTATTCCATTTTATTGTGATTGGATCAATCAAAATTATAAGCTTGGCTAACTATATAAATATATATATTATTACTTTTTTGGTTACATTTGGTATTTTTGGCCCCATCCAATAATAGTGAAAAATAAAGGTAGTAAATTTGGTAATGAGATCCAAGGCTGGCTATTATCAGCTCCCTGTTGGGAGAATTTCTTTGAGGAAGTCACCCCTCTCAGGGCCCAATTTCCTCTTCTGTAAAATTAAAATGCTCATGGGAACTTTAGTTCCAGATACACTATGCATGTTGAAATTAATATAAAAACATGATACAGTGGGCTCAAAAAGTATTATGCTCTCTGATTTTGGGAAATCCACAAAAACTTCAAGTATTGAACAGATTCTTCCCATGTACTTATTGTTAAATTAAGCTGACAGTTTCATTACTTATGCCTCTCATTGGGTTTGGGTTTAGGATTGCCATATATAACAGACAACACTCAGTTACACTCAAATGTTCCATGCAGTACTGGGATATGCAAACAGTATTCACTGGGCCGGCACTGTGGCTTAGAGGCTAAAAAACTGCCACCTGCAGTGCTGGCATCCCATATAGGCACTGGTTTGAGACCTGGCTGCTCCACTTCTGATACAGCTCTCTGCTATGGCCCGGGAAAGCAGTAGAGGATGGCCCAAGTTCTTGGGCCCCTGTACCCATGTGGGAGACCCAGAAGAAGCTCCTAGCTCCTGGCTTTGGATTGGCTCAGCTCTGGCCATTGCAGCCATTTGGAGAGTGAAACCAGAAGATGGAAGACCTCTCTCTCTCTCTCTGCCTTTACCGCTCTGTAACTCTGCCTTTTAAATAAACAAATTAAAAAAAAACCAACCAACAAAC